TGAGCCCTTTTGCATTTCTCCAATGCAAAAGTCATGGTGAAAGTTTCTACCAAAATATTTCTTCCATTTCCAAGTATCTGCCTAATAAGAAATAAATTATTTTGCCCAAGTCAAAAACTCTGGCTGCCTTTGGTTGGGCTGAGACTTCAAAGCTTGCAGGAGACAGACTTTGAGTTAAGGCCACCCCTGCCACAACAATGGAAAAATGATAGCACCTCTAACTTCTGCAGAGACTTAAATTTTTTAGCAATTAAATTATCCAGAAGCTCCTTTCGTCCCAAGTGTGCCCTGACTCAGGAAGGAGAGTGAGATTCTCCTCAGTGGTCTGTGCTGCTGTGGGCTGAGATCAGGAGCAAAAGGAAGAAAGCTCAACTCTACCCAGTGCCGACAGACTCCTGGAGAGGATGTGAGCAGTAAAATGTTAAGAGTTCTTTGTTATTTGCAAAGAGTGATTTTTTTATTTTTTTTTTTTCCAAAAGCATATATGCTCAGACAAATTTGGGAAGATTTTCACCAGGATGGTAAAACACACATTTCTGACAAAAACCCACCTGCTAAATTTCAAAGAAAAGGCGTGAAGAAACTTCAATGCAAAAAGCATAATCTTTTTTTTTTTTTTTTTTTCCTTCTAACTTAAGAACTACTAAGCTGTTTTGGCAGGTATTTTCTTTCAGACTGAAACAATCAGGTGTCGTGGTTTAACCCCAGTGGGCAACTAAGCACCATGCAGCTGCTCGCTCACTCCCCTCAAGTGGGATGAGGGAAAAAATCAGAAGAGTAAAAGTGAGAACACTTGTGGATTGAGATAGACAGTTTAATCGATAAAGCAAAAGCCATGCACACAAGGAAGGCAAAACATGAAATTCATTCACTACTTCCCATGGGCAGGCAGGTGTTCAGCCATCTCCAGGAAAGCAGGTCTCTGTCAGGTGTAATGGTTACTTGGGAAGACAAATGCCATCCCTCTGAATGTCCCCCCTTCCTTCTTCCCCCAGCTTTATATGCTGAGCATGACACCATATGGTCTGGAATATCCCTTTGGTCAGCTGGGGTCAGCTGTCCCAGCTGTGTCCCCTCCCAGCTTCTTGTGCACCCCCAGCCTGCTCGCTGGTGGGGTGGTGTGAGAAGCAGAAAAGGCCTTGACTCTGTAAGCACTGCTCAGCGATAACAAAAACATCTCTGCATATCAACACTGTTTCCAGCACAAATCCCAAACAGCCCCACACCAGCTACTACAGAGAAAATTAACTCTACCCCAGCCAAAACACAGGATAGAAAAATATAGTATGAGGGAGAAAGTTTGTTCAATCTGCAAGATGCTACAAAAGGGCCTTACATTAAGGAGTGCTGGGATGACTGAGAAAGCTTCAAGTGCCTCCTATATAACAAAGAACATGAGCTTTAATTGTATATCCATAAATATCAAATGTAAAGAGCCCAGAAAAACTCCCAAGGGAGCAAAAAAAGCCATGTATTCCCCCTCAAATGTGGTCGTGTGTAACATGTTGGCAACATTCTTGGAAAATCAGTTAACATGGGCTTTACCCTACCAAGGAGAAAGAAAATGCCACCAAAACTGTGTCTTTTCTTCTGTACCTACAAGCCTTCACAAATGTCCCCAGTATGCAGACAAAGCACGGGAAGAGTCAAACAGGGTCCCAGTTCAAGCAGGGCTTCACAGGTGAAGCCAGCAACCAGAAAGAAACACATGGGAAGTGCAGTAGGAAAACTCATGGGTGTAATCTCAACCATGAGGAGAAGCTATGCAAGCAAGCAGCTGCATCTAGCCTTGTAGGACCTTCTGAACACGACCCCGTGCACACAGGTGACTGAGGAACAGATTACTGTGGCAAGGGCTGCATCAGAAAGGGATGCTTAACACCTCTTTGTTGGTAAAAATGATGGGTGAGGGAGGGAAATGCTCTTCCCTGTGACCAAGGAATTGAGGCACAGCTAAGTACCTTGCAAGGTTCCAATGATGTAGCCCTTGTGGCCCATGTGTTGAGCTCGCCTGCCCTCTCCTAAAAGCCGAGTATTGTCAGCACCATGCTGTCACTGCAACCCAAACCTCCTGTTCATGCTGAAAAAGAGCAAGAAGGAAAAAGATCTTTGTGATGGCACAGAGAAACTCTTAGAAAAGATTAAGAACTACCCTGAACAACTCCCTGGCATCTCCAGAAAGACAGAACCCAGCTACTCACTTGTTGATCAAAACCAACTAAACACCTCAAATACAAATACACCTGCAAGGACTACCTTGGCATCTTCCTTCTGAAAAGTGCTAAAATACTGCAGAAACAACATCAGAAGTTTATCTGGAGCTTACTGATACGGGGAACATGCTCAAGTGATGGAAGACTGCATTGTTAATCAGATGCCATGGGAATGAAGTTATGAGCTCTGCTGAGGGTATCTGTTCTAGGTCTGGGTTTTGGTGGTACCTGAGCACCACTTGCTTCTGCCTTCAAAAAAGACTCCTGAAGGACTACCCAGGGAATTCTGCAGGCAGTGATGTGCTTCGCTCTGCTGCACAGCAGCAGAAGCAGGCACCAAGCTTGTGAAGGCTCCCCCTAAACTTTCCATTTGCTCTGCGTACCTCCCTGTCCTTCCCCTGCCACCATAAGGGCTGTTTGTGTTGCCATTCCTCACCTCACGCTGTCATTTCCTCACTCTCACCACTGTCCTTGTCCTGCTGATTACCAAGCTGGTCTGTCAGGCTGTAATTTCTGTAGCTATAGTACAAGAAGCTCACAGACAATGATGGTGGCAGAAATTCCTCTCATTCCCATCTCCCCCTATGGTCCTGCCCTGTGCCACTGTGCTCTGCTCCCCCAGCTGTTTGTGAGGCTGTTTTTCAAAATCTATCAGTTAACTGATCTGGTTTACAAACCAAGCAAGCCCCCTGACCTCCCACCTCTGAAACAACAACAAGTGGTCCTTCCCCATGTTCTTTAGGTGGGATGGGATTTGAAACATAAGGATATGAGCCGCTGTGCGGGCACATATCAGCAAAAACAAGTATGAAAACAAGCAGCAGCTGAGCAGGCACAACTTCACCCAGCACTGTCATATAACCAGGAAAATCACAGCAGAGGGGCATCAGCCTTCTGGATGCTCCATGCAGTTAAGACATGGAGTTGTACAAGAAGCTTTTAGGGGCTAGCACCAACCGCTTTCCTTATTCTGTGGATATTTGCAACCCTGGCTGAAGACAGCACCTTTGCTACCAAGATTTTGGTCTCTCCCTAAATCCTTGTCTTTCTCTGCCCTGTTTTCTCATGTCCCTCTCACATCTCTTGTCTTAAGAGTCCTCCTGCACATTTGCTGGATGCAGCATCCAATACTTATCATGTTACACCAAATCAGACAAACATCCAAGGAGAAAATGTCATTCAGCCAATAACTGCCAATATCAGTACCAATAGTGGACAATTCCTGTTATCCACATAAATGAAGAAAATTTAATTAGATTTGCCCAGTCTAAATGTACAAATGAGCTTTGTGCATTACTTGCACCAGGCCATGCAGTCCGGATTGTTATACAGGATTCTTCTTGCACGCTCCTGCTGCTTACTGTAATGCATCACCCCTCTGTTTCTCTGTATTTATAAAACAGACACAAAAGAGCAATTACGGGTGTAAAGTTATCATTTACAGTGAAATGAGTGTATGTTAAATTTCTGCAGCTACTTGATTTACATTGTAAGCATTCAGAATTGGAAATGTTCCTTTCTTGGTGCAAAATCCAGTTCCAATCAAAAGAAATGGGAAGCCCCAAAACTGCACCTGGAAATTGGGCTCAATCTGATTGAAACAAAAAAAAGAAATAGCAAAATTCTTCCCTTTTTGTTAAACTGGATTATTCCTTTTTAACAAAAACGCAGAATATTTATTGGAAAAAACAAACTTCCTCTTGACAATGTTATCACAGATCTAAAAATTGCACAGTGCATTTACTCTGCAAAGTAAAAGCAATAAGAAGTTTTATAGTTAGCATATGTTAAGGATGATGCATTGGAAACTGACACCTTTACGGTAAAAAAAAATAAATTTATCTTATTAGTGGCCTACAGGTCAGAAAGTCTCGCTTGTTTTCTTTCCTTCTGAGTGAATTTCATCACTGGCAAAACACGTCAGCTTCGCAAGAGATGAAACTCCTGTACACCCACAGACCACACGGTATGGATGTGCAGCAGTGCAAGCTCTCCCCGCAGCGTCCCACTGACACAGGGACACGGCAGGAGAGTGCAACCCCTCGGGGAAGGCACCCTGAGTGCTCCTTCAGTCCTCCCAGCTTTCTGCTAAGACTGTCAGACAGATCTGTCTGCTTTGGGCTTTTCTGATGTCCCCACTAGAAGCTGACACCAAACCAGCAAACACACTATTGAGTGAGTTTGAGCACCACTGATCTGCCATCAGATTCACCTCTCCTGCTGCTGACAAGCCAAGAAATGCCCTTCGTGGGGCGAGCTTAGTGGAGTTACAGACAAAAACCCAGACAGCCTGGGCTGCACCTGCCTCACACGAGGCCAGTGCCGGAGGATTAGCTCATTATTCACTTCCCCTAAGCCAAGGATTTTTAGATGACATCTCAATGAGGGTGAGAAGAGCAGTTTCAAGGTTGCGAATGCAGGACCGGCACACATAACTGGTTTCCCTCATGCCCCAGGAGATGCTGTCTGCCTGCTTGCCCCACCGCCCAGGGTGGTACCCAAGGCGGCTCCCCCCTGTAGCAAACGACCATCAGCCAGGGCAGGTGGAGCAGGCTCTTCCCACCAAGCTGCTAACAAAGTGCGAATGAAAAATTATCCCAGGAGGCCAAGGAGCTTTGGACATCCAAAGCACTGCAACCTTGGTGCTAGGTCCATGCCTGCAACCTGCTTGCTCCAGGAGCAGCCCCCTCCTTTGCTCCACTGGGCTTTCAGGATCAGGCTGGGTTTGACGGTCCGGTTCTCCACTGTGCCCTCAGAAGTGAAAGAAGAGGAATGTGGGACACTCACCACATCTGTGTTTGTGATCTTGGCCAGGAGGTCCGTGAGGCTGTCCCCGTCATCGAGCTGAAGGCCACAGATGGCTGCTCCCACACTTCCAGTTGCTATCATTGACGGTGGGTACATGGCAAAGTTAAAATCTGCAAGAACAGATCTGGGAATTAGTCCAAGCCCAGACCAGAAAAGCTGCAAAACATCAGAGGCAAGCAACATAAAAAAACCACACCCAAGAATAAAAAACGGGGAAGTAAAAGAAAGGGAAAAGTGCCACTCTTTGGTCCAGCGGAGCTCATTAGTCACACTGCTCATCACAAGCAGTCAAAGGAAGGGTAACAGATCTGCAAATTAAAATGAAAATGCAGTTCGGTCTTTTATTCTCACTGATGCATAAAATAAACCTGGACAATTTTTAATAGTCTTTCCTTAGTTTTAAAGAAAAGGAAAGAGAAGAAGGAGGCTTTCTGTAATTTATGTCAGAAATTTGGGTCTCGGTCACATTAGAGCTCTCTGTACAACCAGAAAACTAACTGGAATAAGGTATCACAAAGGACCAAACTGAGGTTTTTAGTCACGTCAATTTTTAAAGACTTAATTAACTTGAGCATTTAAAGACCTGTCCAGGAAAGAGATTTTAATTAACAATTCATCTTCACCACCTTTGCAATTAGGAAGTGAGAACACTTACAGCCCACAGCTACATAACCAAAGAAGAAACAAAGATCACATTTGTCATTACTACTATTTCTTAATAAACAAGTTGAAAATGTATTTCAAAACTTCCTCTTGCACATCTGTGGAAATAAGGAGAGAAATGAAAATAAACCCAAATGTTCTTGTGACCTTTCTAAGGCCATTTTATGGTTTACGATACTCTCACGGGCACTGGCTTATCAGCACGTCTTACTGAACACCACTTCCTGGTTATCTTCTAGGTTACCGATATCTTTCTAAAATGAAACTTGGTTTGCAAGTTGTTTGCTTTAACAATAACTCATTAACCAACCCTTCTCTACCAGTCTTCAGCTGGGTGGCTGGAAGAGAAGGAAGAGGAAACCCACGTTATAGCTAACATGAAATAAACCACAACCAATAAATTCAATGTATTTATAGAAACAGATTGTTACAGAAAACTGCCCTTCTATTAAGGGCAGATCCCAAGCCCTCTCTATTCAGCTAGCACAAATCCTGTAACCTTCTTGAAGTCTGTGTAACCACTCAGGTTTTAGACACATGCAGAGTTGTTCTCAGCCTCCCAGACTCTGAGCTGTAGAGATGGCGTGTTCTTCCCCAGGCTGGAATATGTCTCTGGGAAGGAAGGAAGCCCTGGGTGTCTCGGGTTATAACATTCATCCAGACAGACTGGGGGAGGGGGGATGTTAGAAGTGGGGAGAGAAAAGGAGGAGCTGAAACCCTGATATGGATATATCTGTCTCACAAAGCCACCAGGAGGTCACCACCTGCAAGCCCACCATTGCACGCTGCTGAAGCCCACTGTCCTTCCTACCAGGAGAGCTCAGCAGACATCACACTCTGACAAACACTTCTGAAGGAGCAAATTCCCACCAACTGAAGCAATGAATATGAACTGCCATTATTATAGAAATAATAATTATGCACTATTGTAAACATAAGAACCCACTGCACACAGGAAAGCTGATGATCTTGGAAATTACATTATATTGCCCCCAGTAATGAGTTAGTCACCAGGAGAGCCTTCACTCCTACTTCTCAGTGCAGGACACAGCCCTGAGGATGCCGATCTCAGCACATGTCAGGAATCGCACTTTCATGATCAAAATCACTTTCACATTTACCTCAGGTGGCTTTATACACAGGCATGCAAGGGCTAGTCCTGTCCAGCCTGTAAACAGATGACCAGGGACAACAGATAAGGTTACCTAACACATAGCACACAGACTCCCCGCAGAGCCCACCCTAGCCCCAGTGCCTCAGCCTGAGGTTGCACTTATCATCGGGCCAGAGCTCAAGAGCAGACCATAAATACAATGGGATTTTAAACCCTGGAAATGGCCCTTGTTTTATGCTGTTTTGCCTCTCTTCTTACTCACTGCTACTGACGGGGGGGCCCCAGGACTTGGCCCTGGGTGACTTGGCAGTAGCTTGTTCCTGTGGGTTGATCTGGTAGCCACTGGTTCCAGGGAAGAAGTGTGATTGCTGGGCCACTAGTTTACAAAGTCCAATATGAAGAGCAGGAACGGTTAAAGGACTCCAGTAATGAGAGGTTTTTATAAAGGTTGCAAATGTTTATGTGCTTGTGTGACCGTCCAGAGTCTCTTCCTGGTCCACAGAGCAAATAACAAATGTCTATAAAATTTAAGACTGTTCAAACATTTATGGAAGAGACATAACATCCCCAAGACCTGCTGTCATCTACACAGAGCAATTCATCAGCAATCCCACTAATTTCTTTAGAAAAGGGATAAATTAAAGAAGACTACACCTCCATGGGTCTGTTGCTCCTCTTGTGCATGCTGCGTTTGCTTGGGTTTGCAAATCCCATGCGCTTACATCGGCGTGAATGAGGCTGCACTTGGCCAACGTGGCCCTAAGTTGGGATGTGACTCCTGCATTTAAATCTTTGGATTTGCCAAACCATCTCTTTAGTTATGCATGGGAACTATGGGTCGCAATAGACTTTCCATTATTTACCCCTCCTTGTCTCAAGTTCGGGGAAGACGTGGCAAAAAGATGATGGGAACCCTCTCAAACTCTGATTATGTTTGGACAGTCCCTATGGAAGCTATGATGCAGTGGGTGAGAACCAAAACCCACCCCTTCCCACCCATCATTTGAGCCAACAGGAGGGAGAAATGGACCCAATTGGAGGCCCAGATGGACCCACGCATCCATGTGTGGTCACTGAGCCCCAAGGGAGTAGCTTCACCAGGTGGCTGGTGGGGAGAGCCAAGCAACAGGGAGTTCCTATGTCTCGCATCCAACGCTCATCACCGGCCAGGCACAGGGGGCTGAGTGAAGGACACAACTTCAGCCTGCCCTCTCGACTTCCTTGCCTCCCAGAGGCTTGCACCAGGACCTTCGCATTATCCAGACGCCGGTTTTCTCGTGGTTGATTTTATATCTACTCCCAGAAACCGTCTTCCTAGGAAGCTGAATAAAGAGCCACAGTGCCCCTGCCAACTAGCACTGCTGTAGGTCTGCTTCCACGTGGGGTCACATGAGAACATTTCTATGCCCAATAACCTTGTTAGTTCCCTTAATGTCATTCATAATGCAAATGAGACAGCGAGCGAATGGCCAGAGGCCCAGAGTGACTAAAGCTCAGCATCCAGAAAGTCTTACATTGCCTCTAGCTCTAAACTAACTTCCCTCCATAACAAGCACCATAAACTTGGCTATCAAAGCTACACATGCCCAGTCTTTGTTGTACAACAGGCAGCGATTTGTATCACTGGCTTCTATTTTTAGCATATTAATTAACTACTGCAACTGGTGAGGCAAGTGTCTCCAACTGGAGAGTGTGGCACCATTGTCTGAAGTCATCACCTCATCTCGCGCTATTGAAAATCATGGCAGTGACCCTCCTGCTGATATGAATTTAACCTGACATGCCCACAAAGGGATGGGGGGTGGTGCACCAATTTTGTGCACATGGTTCTCCACATCACCCTGGACCCTATTAGTGTGGAAAGAGCTCATTGAAAGAAAAGAAGCCACATTGTGCTGGGCCACCTAGAGGGTTGAATAGAAAAGGCTGAGGAAAAGAGCAGGCAGCGGAATAAAGGCCGTAATTAACATATTTCCATATTCAAGCAAAGCAATAACTACGTGAAATGTTTGTCAAGGTGCAATGAAAGCATAACTATTAAGTACCATATCTGAGGGGATGCAGAACCCCCCTCCGAGTCCCTGACATTCCATCGAGACATTCAAAACAAGCTTTTTGCACATTATTTTCAATTATAAACCTCTATCCCCGCTTCCCCAGTGACAGCAAACCAAGTCCCACCATCCTCACTCAAGTTTTCACCCAGGTACAACTGCCCCCACAATTAGGTCAAAAGCTTGCCCCGAGATTTAAAAAACAGAAATCAAATGAAAAGGGGGAGGGAAAGGACCTAAACATGCGAAGCTGAAACATATTCTTTTACTTTAAATTATTGTTGGAGATGATGAACCCTGAATTACAGTGGAATTACAAAAACCACCTCTTACTGGACACCTGAAGCAGGGCTACGGGCTAAATCCTTCTTTTGGACGTATGTGCAACCTTGGTTAATAGGCACCCAGAGCCTGCACCGAAGACATGACTCTGCCTCTAACTTATTGTGATTCATGTAATTCCACTGCAAAGTACGTAAGAGTCTCGTTAAAAGTCAGAGGAGTAGTGCAACAACGTGTAGGCTACAAGAATCTAACCACAAGAACATTTCAAAGGAAGAACTAGGTAGTCAGAAAGCAGGATGAGCTGTACCTCCTATTCCCAGAACGCTGTCCCATCCCCATTTCGGTATCGTCTTTTCCTAAAGGATCGTAAAAACAAGGGACCAACCTGGCACAACCCCACTGACTTGAGCGTTGAAAATACAAAAAAAGCCGGTATAAGAAACAGTGCCACCTGAAACACGGCCACTTCCAGGGACCCGGCAGCTGGAGCCACCAAACAAATTCCGGGTATCCCGAACGCGCGCCCTGCTTTCAGAGAGGAGCTCGCGCAGCCAGGGCACGAACCCACTCATGTGCCCAGGAGGATTTTCTGCTGGCAGGGCACAGGCAACCCACGGCCAGGTTCTAGGACCCTGCGCACCACGGTGGAGCTGCTTTGCTGGCTCTCTCCTGCTCCAGTGGACTTCGCTACCTCCCAGCCAGGAAAACGCGAGGTTGACAGTCAGTCTAAAGCAGGAGGGAACTGGAGGCAGCAACCCAGAGAGGTCCTGCAAGGGGAAGCCCTAACTCACAGCCAATAAATGAAAACTGCCGGAAGGAAAACGCACTGACAAATATCCAGGCTGAACGTGCTCCGTGTGCCAAAGCCAGGTGGGAACTCTACCTTCTTACAATGACCCTTGTTACTGCTCCCGCCACTGGGTGTCCTTTTAAAAGCCACTTTTAATCTCTATAATTTGATAGAGGTTTATTTTCAGAGCTGCAAATGCAGAAT